TAAGGTTTTTACTGGGTATTCAGGTTGTTTATAAATAAAATTGTTAAATAAAATTTTTTATTAAAATTTTTTAAAAAAAAAATAAATTAAAATCCATCACCGGATCATTAAGGTTAATTGGTAATATGAAAACGATAATATAAATTTTTATGGCCATACAGAAATATTTTTTTACATATAAAATATTTTTTTTTTACCGGCATCCGGGTTGTAAGGCGATAAAATGTACAAACAAAATTTTTTTTTAAAATAAAAATCAAAATCAGGGTGGTGGTTACAAGAGGTCTGTTGGTGATATGAAAACCGAAAATATAAGTTTAATGTCCTAATATTTAAGATTTTTAGTCCATTATATCCAGAGTTCATTATTGAGAGGTTTGCTATAAAGGATGGTTGTATTTATGAAAATTTTTTAGTTCTATAAGATACTTTAGTCATTAAAGGATTCTTCATCGCTAAAAATATATTATCTTTAAATTCCGGTGGTGATTTTTGTCCATGCATTAATTCAAGCTTAAATTCTTTCAATAGCAATATTGTAAGTATTACTGCTTCCAAAGTTGCTAATTGCTCTCCCACACTATAATTATTAAAAATGTTACTATATATAAAATGAAATCATGTACAATATTATTCTAAGTAATACTAACCAACTTCTAGGTCCAGCATGAAAAGAAGCAAACTTGAATCTATTTGGTTTTAAACCATCCTTTGAATTTAAAAATCTTTTAGGATCAAATTGTTTTGCGTCTTTTCCCCAGATTTTTTCATCTCTCCCCATTACATAGAGATTAAATACTACAAATTCTCCAGCATAAATTGGAATATTATTAGGTAGAACAGTATCCTTAATGCAGACCTTTGTTCATAATTGGAAAAAGTAAAGACAATAAAATAAACAGTGATTTTCATAAAACATTATAATAATTACATTTATTATAATTACCTTCCCATTTTCGGGAACAACAGGATATAAGCGAAGAGTTTCATAAAATGTAGCTGTAGTATATTTAAATAAATTAATATCATCATATAATGGGATAGGCTTTTCTGTAGAGAGAAGTGAATTAATTTCTTGAAGCAATGAGTCTTCAACAGATTGGTTTGCCATG